AATTTTGTGTTTTGAGGTTAAAAAATGGGAAAAACTATTTCTTACCCCATAAACCCCCCCATAAAACCCTGTTCCCATGTTCCGATCATGCTGGTTCGTGAACTCATTCAAGTTTATCCCGCCTTACACCTTTAAACCAAATTTCATCAAAATTGGACAAAAATTACTCAAGTTATTGCGTTTACGGATGTATATATAAATATACCTATATACAAATTTGAACGAATTGTGTTTTTGGCCTCTGGGGACATCAAAATGAAAAAGTATATCCCAGTAAAAGTAGGTCTTACCGTGCCACCTACAGTAATACCTTCTTCCCTTTAGGGAAATTCGCTAAAAATGTACAAAACATTTATGGCAGTTAATAACACATTCCTAAAATTCCATAACAAAAATATATATATCTATGTAGGCTAACATTAAAAAATCAACATGGTTAACATTGAAAAATAAATTTTTTACCTATTATCAAATGTTATGGCGAGGAATAGGACCAGCTTATAATATTTGAGAATCATTTAAAAAATAAATTAAAGATAAGTTACAGTGAATAACTTTAAAGCACCTCGACCTTCTCAAAGAGCAAACACTGGCGACCAGACGATTCATTGTTGTTTCATCTAAACATTTAAGCTACTGTGTCTGAGAGCATTTAAGTGTTTCCTGTTACGTCTGGAATAAATCTATAAATTCACCTCATTTCCTTCGAATTATAGAGTGTTTTTCTGACAGAATTTCAAATTACTACTTGTTACAAATCGTCCAGGCATCTACGAGGTATGAATTTAAATTGTCAAGAGATTCTCTACGGGCTGAGCTTTTACTTTGAATTGTAACCGAAAGTTTTGATTTATGGAATGTTGGAATTATTAACAGTGGACTGTATATTTATGTTGAACATTTTAAATACAGTATTCAATTTTATGTATCATATACACTATGTTAAATAACTATGTGTCTTTTATTTTTCAGAAAATATTAAATGATCTAGAAAAGGCAACGAAAGAAGTGGAAGACTACCTCGATAGCCGTTAAAATATTTCCGTTGTTATGAGTTGAATTTGTTAGCAATTAACTTTTTATTTCTTTTGTACTGTACTGAATTGAAAAACAACTTAACTTAATAATGTAATATTCCAGTAGTTTTAAAATTTAAAATTTAATCAAAACTTAGTACAGTACTGATTGTTTCTTTTTACTACTAAAATTGTAAACCATGTAACAAAGTTAATTAAAAAGTCTTTATATTGACTTGGTGTTCTATTTATTTAAAAGTAAAAATAGGAGCCCATCACCCGATAGGTCTATTTTTCCCTGGAATAATTTCCTAGGAATAACTGTACCCCTGGTAAGTTGATTTGATGAATTTAATTCTAGTACATTATACTGTTTAAAATTTCAGTACACAATTTATGGGATAGCACAATTTTATCCCCCGGAGAAAGTTGAGGTTGCAGCCAAGCAGCCAAGGGGGGTAAAACAGGAGTGTAGGACCTGGAATTTTACCCCTCTGGAAATTCATCTGCAGGCCAACAAACCAATTTTTACAAACAGGAATTTTACCCCCCTCCACTAGCATAAAAAATCCATTAAGTACCGGTATAGATCAAAGTTCATGTTAATGAAAGTTATTACAGTTTTTTTTTAACTAATGAAAACCTGTGGTAATAACTACAATGATAAAAAATAAATACTTAATCACGAAACTCAATCTCAAAATTATAATATAGTCTACTAGCTGCTGTATACTCGCTTCTTAACTGAGGAGGACACGGAAGGGACCTTTTCAGTATTCAACAACCTATAACCAGGAAACAACAATAATTGTAATAATAATAGGTTAAATACCTTGTATACGTCCTCAATCCAAGTCGTCTTTTATAATGACTATAGTTTCGGGGCCAACAGCCCCATTGTCAAATTTTCTGTCTTGTTAATTACTGTTTACAGCATTGGTCACCGTTGAAGTACACATATACACATACACTGACACACGAAACATTTATATTTACACGTAACATTGAAAAATTATACTTTTTGGTCGGCCTAAACAAAAGTGATTACATCATTGTGCGGACCGGTACACTGACTGACTGACTGATTCATGTTAGCCGATGCCCTGGAGACAATTATTCCAGGGCAAACCTGTCCTTTGGTCTCCAGGGCATCGGCTAACATGAATCAGTCAGTCAGTGTACCGGTCCGCACAATGATGTAATCACTTTTGTTTAGGCCGACCAAAAAGTATAATTTTTCAATGTTACGTGTAAATATAAATGTTTCGTGTGTCAGTGTATGTGTATATGTGTACTTCAACGGTGACCAATGCTGTAAACAGTAATTAACAAGACAGAAAATTTGACAATGGGGCTGTTGGCCCCGAAACTATAGTCATTATAAAAGACGACTTGGATTGAGGACGTATACAAGGTATTTAACCTATTATTATTATTATTATTCAATCCAGGAGGCAAACATGGATAAATCAACAATAATTGGCAACAATACTGGCAGTGGTGATAGATGCAATATGGAAAGAGTAATAGTGATAACAATAATGAACAATAACAATGAATGAATGAACGCTGGTGTGATCTGTAGCTTATCTTGATCAGAATTAAATTAGTTTTGTTCTTTATGTAAGATAAATAAGGTCAATAACCCAGACATTGACAAGGATGGGACAGTCATGTGGGCTATTATCGTTGTTGGACTTCCATTGATAAGAAGCTTATCAAAGCCACTCAGTCTGTTGTGCTGAGTGCTCCAAATGTTGCTATGCAAGCCTTAAGGCCTTTTCACACCGTACTAGACGTACTGTACGTTTGGTACGTTTGGTACGGCCAGTACGCGGTCCTTTCACACCGCACAGAAACTTCCAAAACGTACACTTGTTCGTTTGCAGTCAGACAAGTAACACTGGCTGAGCACGTGGTTTTAAAGTATTCACTGCGCATGCACAAGCCCATGTACGCCACGTATGTTTTAGAAAAATTGCTCTCCGAGCGATTCGCACAAAACCATTGCGTACGTACTGGACGATCAGTACGTTCTGTACACGCGGTGTGAACGAGCTCATATGATAACATGGGCAGCGATTTGTTGAAAAAAAACGTACCAAACGTACAGTACGTCCAGTACCGGTACGCCGGTGTGAAAAGGCCTTTATTAGTTCAGCAGATAGGGTGGTTAGAAAAAAGTCCATCTACATTTGTTGAAAAAATATTAAAAACAATACCGTTAATACTATACACAAAACCCTAATGTATATAATAGCTAATATTTGGAATACCTTTTGTGACTGTTCATCTATTCAGGGTGACAATTAAGTCTTAGGACGACTCTCTAACTTTAAAACGAAAAGAGATATCACAACCAAATGTGGCATATCATTACTGGTAAATAGTAAGCTACGTTTTTGTGTACATGGTGATCTGATGTTACCTATGCTACGGCCCATAGGGAGTAAGTTGAAAATCTTGAAGGTAAGTATAGGTTGATATGTACATCAAATGAAAGGTCATGTTGAACTAAAAACAGTACTGTAACAAAAACCGAATCAAAAATGCAGACGTTCAAAGATTTCTTGAATCTGTCATTTGTAATCTTCAAACAGCTGCTATTTTTTACTCATTTGTTGTTTTGAGCTCAAATTTGCGGCATTGTATTCTACTAATAAAGAAGCAATTGCTACTAAGTGCATATCAACCTATGCTTACGTTTATGATGTTTGGGGTGTTCCACACCCCTAAGCCCCCCCCCCTCTAGAACCGCCACTGGACTGACCCCCCCCCCCCCCCCCCGAAAGTTTGTCCTGGCTACGCACGGCCTTGAAATAGCTGGTAAAAAATCAAATATTGATTTTGTCTATGGAAATTTAAACTAAATACTTCATGGTCTGAGTGTTGATTGAGTCATTAAAAAGATTGGAAATTTGAAATTCAAATCTTATTATTTTGGAGAATTAATTCCAAACTGTTGTAGTTTCTTTGTCAATGAACAAATTTTTATTAAATTTGGATTTTTTTTAATTTTACACACAACTATTTACATTTAATAACAAAAAAACACTTTAATCCTTCACTGTTGCAGCAAACATAAGTACTTGTTAACTAATTTTTTTTTTAAGGGAATGAATATGACAGATATTTCAGTGAAAATCTAACTAGGCGAATGAAAATTCACTTAGTCTGAGAATAAAAAGGTAGAATGACGCAATTGCGTGTTTAGCACGGTGTAACGTAAAATTCACCCTAATTTTTTTACATACAAATATAATAAATAAAAATTTTTTTACCTAATTTTTTCATGTAAAAATCCATTTTCTAAAAGTTTTTATACCTTTGATTTCTATTAAAAATCGTTTGTATTTTAAAAAAATTGTTTTGTAGCTTCTACTTTAAAAAGATTTTACAGGCCCATTTCCTTTTTTTTTGTTCTAACAAGTTAACAGATCTGCAAAGTTTTTTGGGCTCTAATGGTTTAAATTTTTTCCATGTAATGTCATGAAAAAGAACATATATAATAGTATACACCTGTATGGTAGAACACAATCTATACAGCTCTAAAGTAACCTATGCAAATACAGTAAAAATGACCTGTACAGAGATTTGTAGCTGCCAGATGCAGGGTTTATTCATCATATCTTATTATTACAATATAAACTTTTCCTGTACTAGAACATTACAAGAAAGGTTCAAATTCATAATTATTAATCCATTATATTTCAGCAAGGAAACTTACACTTACCCAAATTTAATTGGTAATTAAATAAATAATAAACTGAATTCAGTTAGCCCTCAGATAACATAATCAACCAACTTGCAACTTTGAGATAATTGGTGTTTTGTAGTGGTACCACTGATTTGGGTTGGTTACTTTGTTGTGGAAGTGACCCCAAAGGTCATCCAATATCTATAAAACCGTCAAGTGATACTGTCAAAGTGCTGAGATAACGTTCTCAACATCATTGTAGTCTGCACTCTCCTCTGGTCCCTCCTCTGTTGGTGTGTGCTTGGTCACAGTCTAGTCAAAGTCTCCGCTATGAAGGTTTTATGCCTGGTGTTGCTATGTTTCATTACATTGATCCTGGCCGAGGAAAACAAACCTTTCAGGTATGTGTTTTGCTTTTATTTATTTCTTTTTAATTAAGTCATACTGAATTTGCAATGCAAACTAGAACCTTTTAAAAGTGAAAAGCTCCGTAAACACTATAACAGTTCTTAAGTTCCCTTATACTTTTACTAAATTTGGTTCAATTTATAGAATTTGTATGCATTTACTCTCTGTATAAAGCGGTTAGTATGGAGGAAGTATTGTTATTGTAATTTTTTTGAGTTTTGAGTGGAAATACTTGTTTTGGGCCCCCTGAACTCAAAAAGTAATAGTTATAGTCATTGTAATATAATCTTTATTCAGAGTACAACATGCTGCACCAGAATGGGGTTATACAATTATTAAATTATATTGTTAAAACTAACCATATATAAATATCCCTACCGCAGCAAAGCTGCAGATTAAGTGAATTTCCATTTGCCTTATTTGATTTTCAATTAAATCTATTCAAATAACATTAGGTTTAATGAGTACCTAGGTTTGCTGCCTACAGTGTAATGAAGTGTGTTTTTTAGTAAAATATTAATAGCTTATTATAAAATAAATAGATTTGCCAAGTTTTATCCAAATATATCCATAAACAAGCAAACTACAACAGTTTACTTATTCTCCATAAGAATAAATTGGGAATTTTTAATTTTCAGTTTTCTCCGTAACCAATAACCATACAAATTATTTGATTTACAAATTATGATTATTATGATTAACAAATAACCATACAAATTATTAACCATATAAATTATTTGCATATTTAAGCTCTTGAAAATGGTCCAAAGTTATTTGGTTATAGTTGCTATTTGGGTTTAACACTAAATGAAATGTACCATAAACGGGCCATTAGTGTACAAACAAATATCATGCATTTGATATAGGAAAATTAAGTTTTGTTAAGTGTTGTTTACACAAAAACCAAAAGAGATACGAAGTAAGTGTAAATTACAAAGTTGTTAAGAATTAAAAACCCTATAACATGATGTGCCACTTGACATATGTTGCTTTTTAAAAATTTTGAACAATGGGCATATAAAACTTTTTTATAAAATTATTTAAAGAATTTTTATTATTTAAAAAAAATCGTTACTTGTAGCATATTACAGTAAAGCTAATTTCATAACGAGTAAGAAAATTCAACCGGAGAAAGGCTAAGTGCATTGGTATAGGAAACACAAAGTATTAAAAACATATTGATTTTCCCAAAAATACTGCCGACATTTTGAAACGGAAAAAGATAATTAATTTCTGTTTTCGCCAAAATGTTTGTTTATTGAATACCTTTAAAACTTTGTATAACAGGACATATGGTTAAATTTAAAAATTCTGAGATTCGAACTAGTGACCCTCAGATTTTAGCACACCGTGTATCGGAAAATCCCAAAAAGGTGTAAATAAAAAATGTCCATGTTATTCTCATGGAGAATAAATAAACTGTTGTAGTTTGCTTGTTATGGGAATATTTTAATCGAGTTTGGCAAGGGTGTTTGTTTTATAATAAGCCATTAACATTTCAATATAAATCACACCTTACTACCTTCCCTGTAGCAGCAAACCTAAGTACTCATTACCATTAATGTTATATAAATAGAAAAGAAATATGACTATTTTAAAGGAATATTTTAGTGGAAATCCAGCCTGGTAAATGGAAATTCGCTTGGTCTGCAAGTTTGACGTGGCAGGTTTTTAAAATTGTTTTTGAAATTGAGATTTTTCCATAAAACTCCTAAAGCATTTTATTCTCTAAGTGTAGGTACTAGTAATAATATAGAAATTAGAAAACATTTGACCTTTGGAGCTTTGACCAATTTGCTTTTACATTTCGTCTTTATGATTTATTTTACTAAAATCAGCTGATTTTAATCCATGTATTTAACAGTTCAAAAGTGTTTAACTTAAATATCAGTTTTATCAGACATAAACATATGTCGTTGATTTTAGCCTTTTCACTCAAAAACAAAATTAAATTTTGGGCTTATACACAGTGGCAATTTAATAACACATGCTTGATTTCAACAACAGCTTGATTAATTGTTAGGCTACTTATTAAAATTATCTTCAATTGGGTTTTGTAGAATTGAAATGGAAAGGATGGAGACTGGATTGGAAAAGCTCCTTAGACGCGGAGCTGATCTGAAGTTGATTGAAGGCATTTACGACATGCAGCGTAGAGCCGCCAAGCCGAGAAAACTGTTGATGGAAAACGGCAAACCTATACCAACCAATGACACTCTGCCTCTCTTCAAATACTTCGATGTAAGTGATAACATTTTTGACTATTTAATAACAATTCTCGCCAGCTAGTCAATTGCTTAGAGGTTTCTAAAGATTGCCCAAAAGTTGCCAGTAAACACGGAAAAAATTTACACCATCTCTGAAAACTCAAAATTTTATGAATATTTCAATACTTATCTTGACTGAACAATCAGCTGTTCGTGGTCATGACTAACCTTACCTTACCTCCTTGGCCATTGAAACCTCAGAAGGTTTTTGGCCTCGCCAACGATGCTTCTCCACTCTTCTCTATCCACAGCTGCCTCAGGAGTAGTGCCCAATACAGCCACATCCTTCAGCACCTGACTCCTCCATCGCAGTCTCGGCCTGCCGAGTGGTCTTCTGCCTTCTGGTTTGTTCTGGTCCACAGCTTTGATTAATGATGAGTTCTCTCTCCTCCACACATGTCCAGCCCATCTCAGTCTCCTGCTTTTTATCCTTGCTACTACATCTGGATGGTGATACACATCTCTCAATTCTCTATTCTTCCTAATTCTCCCGCCTTCTTCTTCTTGAATTGGTCCGTATATTTTTCTCAGAATCTTGTTTTCAAAAATAATAAGTTTCTTTTCCCATTCTTTTGTTAGTGCCCATGTTTCCGATCTATATAGTAGTACTGGAAGAATGATGGAGTGATAGATTTTAATTTTGGTATTTTTGGACAGAGTTTTTGACTTAAGCATATTGACTAGGGACCAGTAGGTTGCTGAGGCTACAATTACTCTATTTTAGTGGTCATGACTAAGACTTTTGTAATTTAAGTCTTCACATTGGTATTTACATTACGCTGTTGTGATGTACGTGTTTATGGTACAAACTTGATAGTTCTTATTCGCGGATTGCAGAATGTTTCATGCGAGTATTTATAGGTCGTAGGTAGAGACCAAAATTTACTTTTGTAATCATTGTATTCAGGTGTTATGTACAATAAAGCTTTGTCTATTGTACAATGGTGAAACTTGAACTAAGGTAGATCAGCGCAATCTGTCGGTGGCTCACATCAACTACGACGATTTTGAATATAAAAACTGGCGTCATGGGATATGGAATGACTAGTTGTATTAATAGTCGAAGGTTAAACCAATGATGTGGACAGTATGATGGGTGAAGCGTGAATAATACTTTGATCCTTCGATGACAATGTCTACGTGCCCGCATCCTTATTCCGACATGGTATAGTAACTTCAAAACTTCTCTTTGTTCTAAACTCTTGCAATGAAATCACTTGATTCATTATAAGTCAAAAGGATGAAAAAACTTGATACAACTGTTACAACATAACTTTAAAAAATTCTAAAACAACTTTATTACATTTAATTACATTACTCATTACATTTAACAAAGTGACAGTGACACCCTACAAGCTCTGTAATTATCTTCCCAAATGAGTTTCATATTATAGTTTTTTGCCACACTACCAGCTATACACTTCATGTTAAAAACAACCCATACAATCTCAAAAAAATATTAAATATACAGTTCACTAAACAGAATTATCAACTATTTTAGAAAAGTAACGTTTCCAATATTTAATTTGTGAAAGTGCAATATGCCTGGCCAAACCTGACAAATATTTATAGTGTAGCTTCGTTAAAAGCCTACTAAGAAACTCATATTATAGCTTTTTTTTTAAGTATCATGTTAAAGAACAATCTTTAAATTTACCCTTACTCCAGCTGACTTTACTGGTGCCTTACTATGAAAGATGACTTTCTGGTATGAAAAAACTACAGAAACCAATTGATTACTTTTTGGTGTAGCGAAAAGTGATTAATGGGCTAATATAGCTAAAAGTACCTAACCTTTTAATGTCTTGCTTTACTATTTATGTGTATATTTTCAGACCCAATACTACGGTTTGGTCAACATTGGCAAGCCTGGGAAGACATTCAAAATGGTGATGGACACGGCTTGGGCGTATACCTGGGTGCCGTCCGTAGAATGCCCTCTCGTCAGCATAGCTTGTGGTATTGTGCTTTACTATAACTTAAGTTATCCTGTCTTGGTTTTGCTGGTGTTTGGTTTATCGGACCAACTTCAAAGGTTGGAACTTAAGAGTTTAGAAATACACGTGGTATTGGTTCAACTCGATGAATTGACCTTTTGTTTCCAACAATCTGATTGAAAAAATAACTAGGAGATTAGGTAATGAATAAGTCTATTAATTTCTTGCGTGAGAAGCGCTGGCACGTCATTTTAGTCTCCTCCGATCCCGTTGGAATCATCATGTGGGCGCGGAGAAATGGTGAACATCTTGCGGTCACGAAAATGTGATTGTCGTCTTGCGCGATAGCGGCAAAATCATGAACATCTCCCTTGACTGTTTACATCATCATCCTCACCCACAATCACAAAAACGTGATTGTCATCTTGTGCGATAGCAGCAAAATCATGAACATCTCCCACGGCCGTGTAAACGTCATCATCATCTCCCGCGGTTTCGAAAACGTGATCATCGTCGTGCGCGATAGCGGCAAAATCATGAACATCTCCCTTGACTGTTTACATCATCATCCTCTCCCGCGATCACAAAAACGTGATTTTCATCTTGTGCAATAGCAGCAAAATCATGAACATCTCCCACGGCCGTGTAAACGTCATCATCATCTCCCGCGGTTTCGAAAACGTGATCATCGTCGTGCGCGATCACGGCAAAATCAAGTTAATTTCCCGTGGCTGTGTAGACATCGTCATTGACTCCCGCGGTAGCGATACAATCTTGGACTTCTTCTGTGATGACGGATGAATAGTGACAACTCCTACGATGTTGGGGAAATAGCAAAGATCTTTTGCGATCACTCAGATATCATCAACGGCTCCCGCGATCGCGGCGAAAAAGATTATTGATGAAATAAATTTATCAACAAAAAATATTTGAGCCCCAAGTGAGGCCACCGGCAACCGCCGTGTCCGCCGTATTAGGGAAATACGGCCCTGCTTGGGATTCAATATTAAAACGTATTTCCCATGGCTTAGAAGACTTGAAGTATCATACACTAGTCTCTACGAGTTGAGCACTTGCACGGTTTATCTATTTGTTTACATTTTAACATATTCAATCCAAGGAATCTTAATTTGTTCATAGCATCGAATACACATAAATAGTGTCAAACACAGGTGTTGAAAAATGATTAACAAAGATATCTTAGAATTAACAATGTAAAAACTAGCATTACTTTTTATAACTCATCGAAAGAATAAATAGCTTTGTTGATGAAGTACTGCTTCAATTTAATCTTAATCTTGAAGATTAAATTTGAATTTTGAATCTTTATTCGTATTTTTATTTCATGCCTCATCTGTAATGCTTTTTGGATATTTGTAATACAATTTCGAACCAGCATATTTAGGTTTATTTTTGAAAAGTTCCAGAGCTTGAGAGCTTAATTAGAAAGGAGACCTTGAAGAACAGTTGGAATTCCTTTCTGCCAATATCCTACTGATTTTAAAATAGGCTAATTAAATTTATGATACAGGTGATTGTATTTTTCAGCCCGACATGAAAGATATGACCACAGTAGGTCTTCGACTTATAAACCTGATGGCACCAGCTTCAACATTTCCAACACTTATGTTGGATATCTTTCCAATGACTTGTTCTTGGTAAGTTTGATCCATTATCCATAGTTATTAATATATATATGTTAGGGGGGACCTAAAAATATTAACTAACTATAAGCACATCCGAAAGATCTGTTGTCTTTAAATTAAGGCTTAAGAATCCTTAGGGGCTAGCCATCATATTAAAATAATTCAAACCGCTTTTGAAGCCAAAAATATTTTTTTCAAACACCAAAGTGATTGTAATATAAGTATCTAATGCACATTAGGATCAGAAATTTGTCTTTGTAGTTTTGTAATCGTTTTCCAAGGGAGTCCCTGGGGGCTAGTGGCCATTTTGAATTTGCCTGTCATAAGAGTTAACAATTTTTATTGAGTTAAGTTTATCAATTTCAAACAGTCCCTGAAGAGATATTTACCACCTCAAAATATGTTTTTCAATAAAACAAGTGATTTAATTTAAATATCTAGTGCACTGTGAGATTAGAATTTTTCTTCCTACTTGAAGTGGGAGTGGCTACACCATTGTGTATAAATGCTCCCATCAGACTTAATGTATTTACAAACCGCTTAAAAATGTGTGAAAAGTTTAAATAATGTGAAAAGTAACCCCAAGCTTGGGTTATAAGTTGTTTAAAAAGTTTTCCCATAAATTTTCTCACTATTGTTGATGAAATTGTAACAGACCTTCGCTCCCTAGGTTGGCCAGATGAATACCACAGATCAGAAGTTTGCAGAACTCAAACATTTGCCATGGATAAACGCTCTGTACGAAGCGGACGGAACCCTAGGGCTTGGCTTAGAAAAACTGTCCCCTGGTGTCACTCCTTTGTTCTACAACTTCTACAGACAGAACAAAATTGCTCCAATATTTTCTTTCTACATTAACAGGTATGATTTCAGTTCACTTTTTCTGTATAATTTATTGACAATTAGCTATTGACCTTACTTTACTGAATAATTAATGTATAACCATACAAGACAGTTAAAGTATTACATATAGTCATTAAACTTATTTAAAGATTCACAATGTTTACATAAATCACAGAGAGAATACAATTGTTTGTTGAATTAACAAAGGACAAAAATGTGTACTTGCATAAAACTACAAAAACATGGAATGATAATACAGTAGTATAACAACGACAATTACACTAAATAACATTTGGCTTATAGGTATTTACCTATAAGTCAAATGTTATTAATGTTTAATTAATTTCCATAATTAATGGGTCCAGGGGTGTAAAAGGTTTAGGGTTTGTTGGGGGTACAAGCAACAGAAAACATTTTAAATCATGTGACAATGGAAAAGTGTGTAGCGGAGAAAATTACTATAGAAATAATAGTAATGCAATTTTTACCAAGTTTTCTCAGGAGAAAAATATGACATAAACCTGTTTTTATATAGACCGTTTGCATGTTTGACAGTCTATGTGTTACAGAGATCCTACCACAAAACGAGGAGGATCCATCTTCTTCGGGGGAATTGACTATAAACATAACAAAACGGCCTTTACCACATTAGATGTGACTTCCGATTTCTACTGGGAGTTCCAAGTGGACAAGTAAGAATCATTTAGTTCTGTTGCTACTGATATTACGATTTATACTGTATTTTTTAACTTTCTCACGATACAAACTACTATATGGCAAAAGTATTGTTGTTGTCAACATTTTTGTGTTTGAGTGGATATATCCATTTTGGATCACCCTGAACTGAACCGAAAAAACATTTTTTGGAAATAATGTCTGTGTGTGTGTGTGTGGATGTGTTCAGTGCTACAGACCTCACCGGTCCCATTTTGATGAAAATTTGTGGGTGGATACTAATTGATCCATGGTAAATCCAGAGGGTTTTTTTATTTCATTGAAATTAGAGTTTTTATAGTGATTTTCCTATAAAACCCCATAAAATATACGGTGACTATGATGGTTGTCTTGAAACAATATTTCTCAAAACATAAATATAAGAATGACAATAGAGTAATAATTTAATATATTACAATCCTAAGATCATCAAAAACTATGGGCGTCTATCGATATGGGCAAGGGAGCCCCCCCCCCATACATTACCCAATTTAACAAAAATATGCAAAAAGCAATAAAATTACAATAAATAAAGCATTCTTAGTAAAAAAAAACAATCAAAATTTTACATAAATGTTTAACATTTTCTGGGGGAGGAGCCCTGAACTCTCTTTTTACTGGGGGTCATTCGCTTCACTCCAGCCCCCCAGCCCACCTATGTCAAAGTTAGATAGACCCTCATGTCAGCTGACTTACCAATTACCCACCATACCAATTATGAGTAGGATAGAATGTTTGACTCTATCATTGTTTATGTTTTTGCAGAATCGCTCTAGTGATGAGCAAGAAGAGCCAGAAAGAGTACTGCAAGAATGGTTGTAAAGCTCTTGCTGACACTAGTGCCAACACCATCATCGGTCCAGCTGACGAGATAAATGACATCAACAGACTCATTGGAGCCACCGAAATATTTTTTTCGAATCGATACATGGTAAGATTAAAACTAAAACATTCATAAAACTTAATCGTAACCAAAATTTTTATAAATAGCATAGCTGAAAAAACAGGTTGCATTGTTAACAAAAATCCCTTATAAATCATAAATCATAAATCTTTATTGGTCATTATAATAAAGTCATTATAATAAGTCATTATAAAAATATAAATGACCACCACGAGACTAAGCCCTTGGCCGGATAAACCAACCTATTATTATCAGCATTATTAATATCAGCATGTCAACTCTGAAAAATGTTGTATCCGTAAATAAATATTATAAAAACAATAATACTACTAGTTCAATTGAAGGTGGCGCTGTAAAACGTAATCAAACAGATAAATTGTCAGAATCCTCCTCCAAGATTTGTTCTTGCGACTACCGTCTGTAAGCTGTAAGAAAAAATTATGATATTATTTTCCCAGAAGTGAGCGGATATACTGAGGACCGATACAACCGAGTCCAGGTATCAGGGGTTCTATCACCAAATAAAATGGATTGTCTTTATTTCACACTGATAGTTGTACATCGGTACATGAAATGGCGTCAAAAACTACTATACATTGTTGGTCAATCTTGTGTTACCCAGAATTACACAATAATTAAAAATAAGATGGAGGCTCTTAATTAAATTATGCTTCCAATAAATATTCATTCAAATGGTAGTAGATTTTTCTTACAAAAATTGTGAATGTTTTTGCAAATTTCCTTTATAGTAAATAAGCTATTACCATTGGTCTCATAGTAAGACCTGCACCCAGGACCACTATCTTTTTCCCTTTTGTTGTCGCCAGAGGCACATCAAAAACGCTAGTCATTCAAATTCATTTGGATTTATGTGTGTGTCCGTTAAAACGATAATTCACACTAAAATTATCAATTTTTTTTCAAAGTTTCTTTTCATACCATTTTTTAGAGCTTAAAAAGGAATAATTTAGTATATGGGAGCATTGCTGTACAAGTAATGATTTTTTTTAAAAATTCCAAAAAACTTTTAATTTAAAATTTTCATGTAATTGTTATAGGAAATAATTTAATTATTTCATTCTATTTTTTTCTATTTTACTAAAAGACACTTTAAAGACCATCCATGTAGCAGTAAACCTAAGTACTCGTCAAATCTAATGTTATTTAAGTGGGGAATAAATTTGTCATTTTTAACAAATTATTTTAGGGAAAATTTTAGGGAGTTATTTTAGGCAAATGGAAATTTGTTTGGTCAGGTAAATGGACGTTTGCTTGCGAGTATATTTAATGAATATTTATAAAACAATATAAATCAAAACATGGGTTAACCAATTTGAAGTATATCTGTTAAGAGTGTACCATCATGAGTAGAATCGTTATTTACAACTAGTTCAAAAATTTTAGAACTCATAATATGTGATGTAGAAAGCGAATAGGGACCTCTTGTTGGGAATTGTAGATTTTGAGTTATATATATATTTGAATTCCTTATTAATTCCGAATTACTTGGTGCAGATCCCATGCATCTACAACTTTTTTTAAAGTTATAGGACTTTGAAGTTTTGTTATGCAAAAGGGTCATTTTGAGAAAAATCATTTTGAAAATTTCAAATACTCATAAAAACAGTTTTTTTCTTATTTAAGAAACAATTTTGGTATCAAAAGAAAGCTTATAATGTCCTCTTTGGAGGCAATACCAACTTTTGTCTTAAACTCACTGTAGTTTTCATTTAAGTAATTGTTTTATCGAAGCATGTCGTAAAAATTGCCCTTCAGAAAAGGGATCTCTTGTCGGCCCTATGTTATTTCTCCATAAGATAAGAAAAGGTACCTCTTGTTGGGACCGCAAAATTTGTGAGATATTTTGTCCTCTGTACACTGAATTGGTTGTAGTTCTCTAAATTTCCACTAGAATGCAGGACATTTCATTTTTTGGACTAAAGTCTGTTTATAAAGTGAATATTAGAAATGGGATCTCTTGTCGTTATGGCGAAATAACATTGAGCGACAAGAGGTACCTTTTTTCTCAGACCGTGCAGAGGCTAACAAAGTTATTTGTGTCGGCCTTTTACATCTTCAATTCAATATTTTAACCAATACCGCCCTGTTATATATTAAATGAGGTATAAAAATAGATAATAAACAGAATTTTCATATTTTTGACCTTAATTAATTACTTATATCGGCCATACTGAAAATTTTGCATCCTCGACAAGAGATACCTTTTCGCTTTCCACATCACATATAATTATTGTGTTACTTATTTATTCTAAAGTGGATGGTAATTATATGATTATTGGAAATATCTTCTGATTGTTCATTTGAAATCTCAACATTATTTTCAGATTCCATGCATCAATGAGTTGAAGGGACCAAAGGTAAAATTCACCATTGCCAATCAGGAGTTCATGATCCTAGCTCGAGACTATATTCAGAAGGTATTATTTTGCTGTAACTTCTTATTGAGGGCATTAAGTTCTATTGTATAACCAGTGCCAGCAAACTTTTACTCACTTTAAGTGTTGATAACCAATTTACTCAACACCAATAGATAAAAATACTTTGCTTGTGAAGATATTTTAAGTTAACAAGTTATGTTAATTTGTTGCTATATTTTTTCATTTTAATTCACACAGGGTTGCTGATAAGATAACCATTGCCAGTAATTTTTGCAAAACATACTTTGCACGTTATTGAAATTGTAGAGGAATATGAAAACTGTTGGCCAATTTCAACCTCAAAATGAACTCATGAACTCAACTATTTATCTTTGTTTTATTTATATAAAAGCAAATTTGGATATTCATGTGCAGGGTGTGGTCCACTTATACGCGAAATGATCCAAACATTTGTTGAAACCCAGAAAAAAAGACATTTCCGTATTTTAAAACTTCTTAAAATTTTACAATAAGTTATAAAAATGTATTATACCTCCATTAAAATTGTTTTAGAAATAGGATTACATATTTTTTCATAAACAATTGTTAATACCTTAACAAATTAATGACTGCAACCTGGACTACTGCTGATTTTAACTTGTAGATTTGTGTATAACGTACAGTAATTGAAGAAACTGTAGCTATATTTATGTTTTACTGACGTGCCAATGTATTTATGTAAATATTTCCTAGCAAATAAAGAGTTCTGACTTCACAATTTGTTCTACAGGTCTCCTATTCAGGTATTACCATATGCCTGTCTGCTTTCCAGCCAGGGGAGCACTCCACAGGTCCCGATCAATGGGTACTGGGAGGAGCGTTCCTCTACCAGTATTATACGGCTTACGATGTCGTACGCCGTAAAATTCTTATAGCTGAGGCAGCATAGGCTGCGTTCCCACGTCGTTTGAGTGCCTATGAACATTGTGGAAATAGTTGAAGGTATTTATAAACTTCATGTTCAAGACTGTTGTTCAAAACTCTTCTATCCAAATTCTGCCTATATTTTACAACATCAACTTTAGCTAAAGTTTCCCTTTGAAATTGAACAATGTCTGGTACCGGTAAGAAGTGCATTGTCAGCTTGTCTGTGACACGTCCTAATGGAGAACAAAGAAAATAAGGTGATAAGGTGTTTATAGTTTTCACTTTAAAGCATGTTGTTAGTTGTTTGAATGCTTCATTATCATCTTTTATCTTTGGCTTCACATCACAACTTTTTTATTACTTATATACACCAGCACTGTTGTAAAGTTTTTGGTATGTTATGGTTTTTGACACAATCCCAGGCAGTAGGCTTCCCGAATTCATTTATAAATTTAACAGCTAAACCTGCTGTCATTTGCCTAAGATTACCGAAGTCCCCTGATATTCGGTGTGCAAATGCGACAGAACTATCACATCACCTGCTCTTTGATACCTCTGCCATGTCTTCATGAATGACTTGAATGTCTGATGATTCTCTGTGTAGTAGATCATTTATACCAGACTTGCATTTACTTTTGTGATTTATTTGTGGTTTTTTTTTACTGTTGACTAAGGGTATAGGATTTGTCACAGACCATTTTTGTGGCCCTAAGAATTAGATGTGCCTGTTTTGATTTGCCATAGTTATTAACTTGTTTACTGCGGATGACGAGTAATCTTGTCACCGCTAGCGCTTTCCAGCGGTGCGCAACAAGTATACAAGTCAATGCCCCGTTTGCAAACTATTATTCCAATGTGAGGTTAGCCACTGCCGTTGACGTTGTTTCGCTTGCCGCTTATTGTGCCAGTGTTAATACTTCAATCTGGTATTTTTTATTGGTGGTACACGTGGCTATAATTTTATTGTAGAGTGGGGTTTAGGCTTAAATCTAATGAGATGCAATAGAATAACGTTAATGAATGTACTGTAGCATTGTGGAAGGAACCTGACCTCAAAATTGTGCTTGGCCTCTTTTTTACGGTATTTTTTTTATGGTGTATCCGGATAGTTACCCCTGCTTTTCCCCTCCATTTGACAATACTGAAAGCCAGCTAGCATAGTATTGTTTAGTCCTGCTATCTCTTATGTTCTTGTATGTTCTATGTCGACAACGACTGGGACAAAGTATATGCCTCTCATTTGGATGAAACTAAATTTCAACGTTTTTGCACACTCGTCCATGTAGTGTATCAGATGTTTGTGCCACTGGCAGCAGTCACTCATCGCGCAGCCGCATTGAACGTGTTAAGATGGAGTCCATGAGTAGTAAAGTGTGATCTTTTGAGAGTGCTTACGTTAATTAAAAATGTATTCTCTATTCTTGCTGCCAATTTAGTCAAGTAAGTATTTACTGCATCTAGTTCTAAGTTATCAATGGATATAGTAACTTTATCGATGAAACAAATATTGGTCTGTAGATGATTATTTCCTTATGTTTTTTCTTGGTCTTGGTATAGTTCTTTTAAATATCTATTTAGGCTGTTGTTAGTTCTACCGAGAACATTTGTATGATTATTTTCCTCTGTGGTAGCAGAATCTATGATTTGTAGTAGCAAAGTATTTGTTCTAACGTAGCAAAGTATTTGTTCTAACGTAGCAAAAATGTGTATATCCCCTGCGCTTTAACTTTCTATTTTGCTAGCCACATGTCTACCTTCGCTATCAGAACAGAACGTTGAATTAGTTTTGGGGCATGTACAAGTTTTTCATGTATTGCATACTTCCTTTTTCTATTCCAAAGTGTAGTTTGGTCCTGCTGCTCGAGGTCAATTGTTGTAGGTCTACTTCTAGTATTGCCATGCACCGATTTATTTATTTCAACTTCGTCTTCTAGATTAGAAAATCCTCTGGATGTTTCAATAACCGGTTCTTTGTCGTATATGCTTATAGTTCTTTTTTTATTCTTCACTTCCACCCATGCAGTGGCGTAACAGAAGGGCCCGCAGGGCCCGCGATGCGGGGGGGCCCGGGAGCTGAGGGGGCCCGCGAACCGGTGAGCGGGAAACGGTGAGCGGAGAGGCCCGTGAGACGAGTGGGGCCGAAAAATTGGAGTTCATTCGTTCAATAATTGTATTGAACAAGTAATAACATTGATGTTATTAATAATATGTTGTTATCAGTTATCGTTTAATTTCGTTAGGCCTCTTCAGTGATAACGAACTAGGGTAACAAATTTAACATGTTATAACGTGGGTCTTTGATTATTATGCAATCTTACTTTCGTCACCGAGAAATATTTTACTTCTCGGTGATTTCATACACTGCTTATGTCGTCTGCAATCATTTTGTTACTTTGGAGCCTGGAGTCATGAACGTTGGCTGGGGCATTTAATATTGTATTATTTTACATTTTAGCTTTGTCCTAATATTGATTGTGTTTTGTTAAATACAATATACTGCTACTCTACTGACTGTGTTTGTTAGCCCCACAACTAACCATTACTAAAGACATTAGTTGTAAGATAAACGCTTACAACATAATAAGACGCTTGAAATCCATACAAAGATAAAATAAAAAATGCAATAGGCTATTTTAGCCTGTGATTATAGTACGTCAATCTATTAAACTAACCAGCTTTTAGTGTATGAGTTAATTATAACCAAAGAGTTACACTAACCTAATAAATTAATACTTTCTCATCCTTCAGTCATATTTGGGTTTAAATACGCACATATTGGCGTCCCCATCTTAAATTATTGATTGATTGACTTTAATAATTTACTTTGAAATGGCGACCATACCAATGTAGGTATTTTAAGCCAAGAATTAATGGAGATGAGTAGCCCAACCTTTTAGTGTTGAAAGGGACTAAGGCCGACATATTCCTTAGACATTAGACACAGATGTTAATTAATTAGCTAATACAGCAAAAGGCAACTAAGGGGCCTAAGGGTGTTAATAGGGGAATTCGAACCACATTTTGCCTTGTAATTAACGAATTAGTCTAATTATCAGGGAAATAAAAATGGATAACATGTGTGATAAATTAAATGTAAAGTTTTTAACCTCCTTGATATAAACATTCTGATAGACGGATGGAAAATAAGGGGTTTTTATTTGATTTCAAAACTATTTACAAACACTAAAACTGATATAATGATGTAGTGATGTAACACTTCCATCAAACCACGACTGAAAATACTTAACACATACCCTTTTATGGAACATATCTCACAATTTAATATTTTAATTTAATATTTTTTTTCATAATTTATTTACCACTCATTTTATGATTAATCTGCTTGATCATTGTATAGGTGGTCCACAAAATACTCTGGTGGGAGGGGGAGGGCGTTTGATTATGTTGTATTGGTGGTCTAAAAATAACTCATGAGTGGGGGGGGCCCAAAAAATAAGTTTGCAGGGGGGCCCGTAAAAATTTGTTACGCCACTGCAACCATGTTTTCTGGTTCTTTGCTTGTTCCTCCTTTTTACCAGCTGGTTCGGCATGTTTGGTTGACTTTAGTTGCCTTCCCTATCGATCATTAATGAATAGAAAATTTTCAGGTTTGTAGTTGGAAGGTTGAATAGGAAAAGTGCTATCACGGCACGTTTTCTAACCACTTCTTCGGTCAGTTTGACTTTGTTAATAACATTATCCCTGAATTATTATTACATAGGTTGCTCCTTCCACAGCATTTTCAGTTAAGAGGTTGGCTTTTCAAAGGCAGAGTTCTTTGGATATTTGTAGGATTTAAAAACATAATTTTCTTTACTGACCCATGTCTGTTAAGTACCAAAAAACGTTAAATAATACTATCCAAGGAAAATACTTTCCTTTTTTGATTTATCAATTAAAGCTGGTCATGGCTGGTGACCTTTTATTTTCAGGTTTTTAAAATTTATTATTAACGAGGTTTATTTAACCTTTTTTTTATGGTCACATTTTCAAAATTTTTAATTCTTTCTGGTTACAAAGTATACAAAGCAACAAATTCTAAAGTGTTTGTCATCTCTTACTAGAAAACATCACCGAGAGTTCTGAGGAGCGGTCTCTCAGCCCTGAATTCCTCCAGAGATATACAGAAAACACCAAGTCACACCCAAGATGACTCGACCCAACGTCAACGGAACAACAATTTCCACATCCAGTAGCAGCTCATCCATCGTCTCAACTGTCATCACAATCCCAATGATATTCTCTCCAACCAGTCAGCCAGTGAAGTTTCCAATATAAGTGAAAGTGAAGTCATTTCCCAGAAGTGTGGTGTTGAACTCAGTACCAGTGCATCATTTGTTTCTCTAGATCCAAGTAGGCTTTAGAATAATGTTAAGCCTTATTAAGACTGCCAAGCAGGAACCACAAAGACCCCATCTATTTTAAATGCAAGCCCTTCATTCTTCTTTCTAAATTTCCAGGGTAAACAAAATAACAATTTTAGAATAATTTTTATTTAGTAATAATATTTTTGCTATCGGTCTTACTGAGCATTGGTTAAAAACAGAAGAGGTTGCTTTAGCTTTCCCGATGGCTTTTGTTGTGGTAGTGCTTACTGCAAAACTGATCATATTAAGGAGCCTCTTTAATTTTCACTAAAAATTCTTACAGAAAATGTGTAATTTGGATCAGTTTTGTTCTGAAATGAGTTCAGAAGCAGCAGTGGTTCTTATCGAGGATTTTAAATTAATATTTGTTTCAGTCTACCACTCCCACCTTCGGGCACCATTGAGGTTTTTCTTGATAATTTTGATAGATTGTCAACTTATATATCTCACTGGTCTAATTATCTTTCAATTATCAATAAGATTGACTACATCTAAAAAAAGATTTGACTTGCCTCAGAACAACTACCTCTCTAAACAATTTCTTAATATACTCCGCCAGCACAATTTTCACTTCCTAAATCACTTCCCCACTCAAGGCAATAATTGCCTGGACAACATATTAACAAACTGTAATAAAAATGCAAATATAAGCTGTAAAGTTTTTGTTAGTGCTTACGGTTTAAGAGATAATTTTACAGTTATGGTTGGGCTTTTGATTGACTTTCATAATATTACTAATGCAGAATGTCTTAATCATTTGTGTTAAAATTGGACATTGACCAAATAATTAATGCTGTGTTATAATATTGTACGTTTTGTTTTCATATTAAAAAAATAGGCTTTTTTTAGTTAATTTAAACAAATCTATGATGTGATTAAAGAATGTAACGGCTGTTTTTCTCATATTATTATGTCAGAGAACAAAAATTTGGTACTGTACTTTTAAAGCGTACAGATACAAGCAGAGGGCATTATTATGCTTTATCTGGTCATACGACATGAAACCAGATTAAATTTTGACCAGTTTACCTTTGAAAATGGGATATTTTGATTTAAATACTACTTTGCTGTACTATCATGAATATTTAGTTTTTAGTTTTTATAAACCCTGAAACTTCATATCGTAAGACATTATTGAAACGACTAACGAGTCCAGTTGATGAGCTCATAAAAGTCTTGACTTTGTATAGTTTGTCCCTTCATTCCTTTATTTATTTTATGTATCATCAAATCAATTTATAGACACAAATATATATTACATTAAGTGCTTATAGGAGTAACTGGTGTATAATTACATAAATAATGCTTATAATAAAATACAATACCTACTCAATATACTTAGACAGTAAAAAAAACATTTTTTGATCAAACATTGAAAATTACAATAACAACAAAAATGTACAATGACTAACCCAAGGTAGTGTCTACTAAAAAGTCTGGGATGGAATAATAAACCTTATCCTGTAGAATTTCTTTGATTTTCAACTTTCAAAACATTTACTGCCAATTATTTAAATTTATTCGGCGAATAGTTGTACAGTTTTAGGACTGTATGAAAAGGACATTTTTCAAATTTTGTTGACCGCAATTATACTATAATATTATATTTTACTATGTAAATGAAAGTAATTTATGTAACCACAAACCCATCTAACTTTTTATCTTGTAAATAATAGTCTTATGATCTTTTAAATTTCCCATTCTGGCTCTTATTTTCTAGTTTTTATGTTGTGAACATTTAATCCCCGCTGGTCACTACTTGCTGTCAAATTGTTAATGTTTTCATTTGTCATTAAACTTTTGTCTCATCTGTAGTAGGTAATATGTTTATATTGGTATTTAATCTTTCAACTGACAGAACCACAAGCATTGTGGTTTGCATTTCTTGTTTTTAAAATAATGCATATTTGTTTATTGTGTTGTATACTTTATGCAATCCAAATCCTGTAAATAGCTCAACAACAAAAAACACACTTTACAACCCCATTTTTAGCCTGGTGAAAATATTTAATTTAGATTTGTATACAGATTTGTTATATGATCATGAATATTTAGTTCTTTTTTACCTTGAAAACTCCATATCTTAAGAAATTATTGTAATAAGGAATACTTCTTAGGTGTTACTTTCATGTATTAAGCCTTTGTAAGTATACAGTATATAAATCTTTGCATTGAAGTGGTAGTTTTATTATCTATAAGCATTGAGTATACATTGTATAAGAGGGGACAAATAATGCTAATAGTTGTTACAGATTTTGGCAATGTAGTTTGGGTCTCTGACGCGTGGGTCGTGGTAGTCGGTCGGAAGTACAGTGCGCCTCTGAGCACCTTTAATCAAGTATTAAAAATGCATTAGCCTATAAAACCAGGAAACTATGACAAAAAAATTAATTTCATCAACAAAAACAATATTTTACAACCTACAACACAATATAAAAAATACCCCCGCCGCAGCAAACCTGCAGACTAAGCGAATTTCCATTTGATTTACACTGAAATGTCTACTTAAAAATATAACATTTATTCCCTATTTAAATAGAATTAGTTTAACAAGTACTTAGGTTTGCTGCATCAGGCAGGGTAAAACAGTTTTTTTGTAAAATGTTAATAGTTAGTAAGAAATAAGAACATTTTCCAAATTTGATCAAAATATGTTCATAAACAAGCAAACTACAACCGTTTACTTATTCTCCATAAGAATAACATGGGAATTTTAAATTTACAATTTTTTGGAATTTTCTCCTTAACCATTAGGCGCATAATAACGCTTCAATATACTAAATTATTTGTTTTTTTAAGCTCTACAAAATGGTTTGGAAAGAAATTGCTAAATTTTATGTTTTTTGGGTAAAAAATGCAAAAAACTTTTTTTTACCCCATAAAACCCCCCGTAAACACCCGTTCCCATGGTCAGATCATACTGGATCGCGAACTCGTTCGAATAAACGTAGGTTTCCACATTTGTACCAAATTTCATCAAAATCGGATCATTTTTGCTCGAGTTATTGTGCTAACGGACACACATATATATATATATATATGTGAATTTGAACGGATGGTGTTTTTGGCCTCTAGGGACCTCGAAACGAAAAAAAAATTGGTCCCGCGTCCAGGTCTTACCATGAGTAGGGCCTACTACGGTAATAGCTTATTCCCCATATGGGAAATTCGCTAAAAACAGTTCAAATCCCTTTATATGTATTTATATATACAAATTGTCTGGTCATAAGTTTAGGTACACTTTTTTCCACACTTTATTATAATGGTGATTGAATAATAGCTGAGGTTCCCAACTAAAACAATAAGATGATAAAAGATCAAATCATTATTTAAAAGCCATTTTTGAAATCCTCACAAAAATTACAATAGTTATAATACTATATAAGTGCATTTGGGGTTTTTACGAAGACTAAAATTCAATAAAGTTATAAAGAACCTCATTTCTAGGCTGCCTACTTCTGCAGAAGGTATAAAATATTATAAACTTCAACTTTAAATAACCTTTAAAATCATGTATAACATTTAATTACCGTCACATTTCATTAATTCATGCATCTTTATGAAGAACATTGTAATTCTAAAAAAAAAGTAAATCGGTCCCGGGGGTTTACCATGAGACCTACGGTAATAACTTGTTCCCTATACTGTAATATATTATGTGAAATTTGCTAAAACGCGTAGTAGAACAATGGATTTAACAAGATATTTTAAGTGCAAACTTCAGATAATTACGTTTTCTCAATATGCATGCATGGGTGATAGTGGACAATTAGTGTAATAAGTGGAGAGTAAATAAAGATACGTCTTATAACACTTAAAACATATATTTACGCTTATATTGTTACTCACAAGACGGTAAATATACAAAAGATGGTAGCCTAAGTGGTGATCGATTTCGATTAGACACTCCAATCATCATCAGACCCAATAGGCGAATGACTAAATGAATGTAATAAATGACAAAAGTACGAATATATCCTTTTCCACCCTTGGAAAAATGCAGGAACTTTGAGTTTTGCACCAACAATTGGCCATTTTATCGGATGGCAGGTCATTGACAATATTGGCATCTATACAATAAAATGTCTACAAGTAATACAAGTAGACCACACCAAAACACTCGTAATTGCATTCGTAATAATTGAAAGTATAATTGAATACTAAGTAACCCTCAGTAACCCCTAAGTACCCCTCATTGAAAGTAACAGTGTCTTCCCGGCTTCCTTCATAATGTTTGTTAGAACAGCTGAGTTGTTCTTAAATTCTAACTCGTAGAGTTAGATTTTTTAGCTATAAGCGATTTAGGTATATGATGGGCTATCTTTGACAATGAACTACAATACTTAGACTTAAGTGTGGAGTGTGATCATATTATCATGAGTCATATTATTATATGTGTCTGTTTGTCATTAGATGTCGTTAAATGTATTTTCAAATAAATAAATGTTCAATAGTTTGTGTTTTTAATTAGTGGCCATGTTGTATTACTTACTTAGAAGTGTTCATTTTAAGGAAAAAATAATTAATATATTAATTTTAAAAGTTTAAAACATCCAGTATTTACTTCCCTTCGACCAAACTTGACTCTTGCTTTCTAGGCTTATCAAATAACGTTAGCTTTTGGAGCCTGTCAACTCTTAGTTGTCAAAATGGACCAAAAAGGTGGTCTATAAAGGTTTATATATTTCTAACTGCTGTCTGTTCTATGAATATGCCAGTTTGTTTGTTTTGATTTAACCTTAAAATTTGACGAGTATGAACACTCACACTACAAAGAAGTCCATTGTCAAGATAGACAAATAACCATCATACCATGCATCATACCATGACTGGCTTGAACACATCTGGTTGAAAAAAATCCAACGATAATTTGTTAGAAAAAATATTATGTGGTACCTGTTTCATAGTAAGGCATTCTAAATGTAAAAAATTTACTTTTTAGTCAACCAGTTATTCTTTATTGAGTGTTGGACATCCCCAATCAACTTTTTAATGCGATATGCCAGGATAAACTTTTTTGGGGGAGGGTAGCTCAGGATTTTTTTATACAAAGCTCCATCAAGTGACACCTCATTTTAAATGCAACAAGTTACAAAGAATATCGGCGAAAACTAGAGGTCTCTACCTCAAAGCAGTGCAAAATGATGGACTTTTTTTGTTTTCATCAACCTCTTTTAAAAAACTCTTCAATATCACCTATTAAAATGTTATAAGATTTTACCAGGAAATACAATTGACTACCACCTTTTTAAGGCGTAAAATTATTAGTTAAGTCAGTCATAATTGCACCTGAGAACCCAAAATGTACCCACATTTTGGGGGCAGCTAAAAATGTTAAATATATTACCTGTAAACTAAAAACCACCCGCCATTTTATACTGGGTTAAGATAGGAAGCTCTAGTTTTTGGCAGTGGGGATTACTCTTTTAGAAAGTTTGAGGCTGCCCACAAAATATCCAATTTTGAGGTCCCAGGCAAAAGTGTCATACCGGCCAAAAAGTACTTTTATAGTTTATCGTTACGGTAATACTGAGTTTAGTTTTATTTCTACACCTCATTAAAAAACTAATAGGGTATATTGATGAATATTTTAAAATGGGATACCTTATGTTGATGAAAAATAAAAAAGGCTCACAGTCTAAAATGAGTTCAGCTAGAGAGTAGAGAGATATATTTTTCACCGATATTTTTTTTAACTAATGGTTTTTAAAATGAGGTGTCACTTGATGGGGTTTTTACCTTTAAATTATTTTAGTTGTTCCCAAAATACCCCGTTTGGGTTTTCCATCAAAATTGGGATATCATCAAAAACTGTACTTATATGCTGCCACTTTATGCACTTATGTAGAGGTCCGCAAATTTTGGTTTTCCTGTAATATCCCATTAACAGTTTAATAGGATATGTCCATACTTATGCCCAACCATGAATAAGGCTATTTAATTATCATAAGTCATTGTCGTTACGGTCTAAACCACCTACGGTTTCTTAACGTTAAGGATTAGTTAAGAATAAATAGTTGAAGAAATGATTACTTTCTTCAGTTAGTTTTTGAATTCCAGTTTCGTTACAAAAACGAACAGATAATGCAACCATCCAGGTGGTATGGACTTGCAAGTAAACTAAATAATAATCATAGCCTGCAATAGTGAGAAAAACACCGTCAGAAACGTATTGGATGGGGAAGTTGGTGCCAAAAATAATAGTTATTTCACCTGTTACCGATAAGCTAAGGAACGTTCCTGTCTGTTCCTGTAAAGTAACGGTTACTTTCCACCCTCAGAGGGAAGGGGTAGACTGTGGTAGGGATAAAAGATGTGGTGGGGGAAGCTCTCCACGTGGTTTTTGCCGTGTCCCCACTCCTTCTTCCCCTCTCCTGGTTTCCCGCGGTTTTGTGTACCTGCCGGATGTGACGACAACATGCTTGTGTCTTTTCCCGCCACCCTGGCGTCTTTGGCGTCGGAAAGTGCAATTGCCGAACTACGTAGTTGATTTAGAAATCAGTTAGCGGATTAATTTTGTGTCCAGAGGCTGTGGTTGAATTGGTCAATTATGCACGGTTAAGGGATTGGTCGAACCTTTTGGCTTAGAATTGTAGTCGAGTACGAGAGCAGGACGTAGTGCCATCCGTGCTCCGAGAAATCTACCCTCAACAAACAAAAGGGTGCATGGTTGGCACCGAGTCCGTGCTCTCCGAAAGTTTCCCTGTAGATTATTTGGGTATGAGGGAAGTAGCAAAGGGGTAATAAGGGGTGTGCGACACAGCAAACTTAGCAAAAACTACAAATAATAAGGGCAAATATAAATATCAATAGCTTTACAGTACTTGATATAAATTCTTAGGTGGGTTACATTCAATTTCAGTTTACTGTAGTTACATACACCGGGCTATAAATCGTATATTTCAATTGGTTTTATCCGATTAACCCTGCACTACTCGCGCCATATCTCATAACATGGATACTCGCGCGGGTGACAGTTGTCCCCCATTTCGTTTTTGTATATATATATATATGTAAAAATATTTGTTTTATAGTAATATTATGTCTCAAAACCTATTAAGTGACTATTTGAGATTATTTATGAATAGTAGTCATGTTTTTTTTCTGTCCAGTATAACTTAAAAATGTTAAATTTTAAAATACGGTATCATTCTTTTTTGACCAAAAATAATTTTA